AATCAATATCAACAAGGGCACTCCCGAGGTACTTCCTCGTAGTCCCAAATCATAAATAAATGCATAATATCTCATTTTCTTATCTCACCGCGGGAGCCTTCACAATTTATTTTAAAGAAAATATTTTTTCCGAAATAGCATCCCGCGTTTTAGCCATCCTTATCACACCGCATGACTTCTAGTAGTTCCCCCTACTAGCCACGCGTATCAAGCCTCCTTATCTCACCGCATGTGTATCGATATCACAATATATCACAATTTGCACCTCAAGTGCCCAAATAATTCAACAACAATATTTTCCACAATAAAGAACTCACGGCTCATGCCAAATAAATCAACAATAATATTTTTTCACAAATAAGAGCTCACGGCTCCATCACAATGAGTACGTAAATCTTACAAAAGTATTCAGGAATAAATAATTCACCAAAATAATATTTCAAAAACCTTAATATGATGCTTAAATACCAAATTTAAAATGTCAAATACTTCGTATTAATAATATTTAATTTAAAGAAAATCGGCCTTCAAATAATGCATAGAATAAAAGAAATCAAGTTCCAACTAAACAGGTAACAATTAGCAGGAAAAGGTCAAGCAATTTAAATTATAAACATTTAAATAAATGTTGAAGAATATAACAAGGTAGAATTATTTAATTAATATGCAACAATGATCTACACAATTTAAAGACATAATCTTTCACATTTAGCCCGTGTACACACTCGTCACCTCGTGTACACAACTTTCAACACATTTTAATTTATCACTTCAATACCAATCCTAGGAGAACTTTCCCTCACACAAGGTTAGACAAGTCACTTACCTCGACTTGCTCCAATTTATCCAAGTAGTATGCATTTTCCTCGATTTATCAATTTCGACCGACTGGTATCTAGTCATAATTAATTCGATACAGTCAACAAAAATTATAGAATCAATTCCATAAGAAAGTACTACATTTTTCAATAAAATCCAAAATTAGCTCAAAAATGGCCCGGCGAAAGTTACGAAATATGAACGCTCATTCAACCACGAGTCCAACCATACCATTTTTACTAAATTCCAACATCAACTTGACCTCCAAATCTCAAATTCTCATTTTGAAATCCCTAGGCCCAAATCCTCTAACTTCACCTCAAAAACATGTAATCTATTCAAAATATTCAATGATAATCTAATATAATTGACTAACAATGATCACATGTAACTTACCTCAAGATTTCCCGTGATTTCTCGCACAAATATCGCCTCACCCGCTTTTGGAAATGTCAAAAATGACAAAATTTCTCGGACCCTTCTGTTTTGTACACTGCCCAGTGCTTTCGCACATGCGGACAAAATTCTCGCACCTACGGTCCCGCATCTGCGAAAATTAGTTAGACCAGCTGCCTTCGCATCTGCGAGCCTTGGACCGCATCTGCGCCTTCGCAGGTGTAGGAAATTCCATCGCACATGCGCGCCTGCCCGCACCTGCTCCCTTCCTCACGCTTTTGCGCAAGCGCTTCTGCGTAACATGAGCCGCATCTACGGCATCACACCTGCAGCGAATTTCTCATAGGTGCGATTACACCAGAAGACAGAAAGTTTTCCCAGATTTCTTCTAAGTCCGAATTTGATTCATTAACCATCCGAAACCCTCGGGACCTTAACCAAATATACCAACATGTCCTAAAATATTTTACGAACTTGCTCGCGCGATCAAATTTCCCAAATAACACCTAAAACTACGAATCGAACCCCAAATTAAAGGAAATTTTTAAGAAAACTTTAAAACTTATATTTTCACAACCGGACGTCCGAATCACATCAAATCAACTTCGTTTCTCACCAAATTCGGCAGACAAGTCATAAATATTATAGTGGACCTATACCGGGCTCCAGAACCAAAATACAAATCCGGTGTCAATAAATCCAACATCAGTAAATTTTTAAAAATCATTAAGCTTTCAAACTTTTAATTTTTCATCAAAATTCCATATCTCGGGCTAGGGACCTCGGAATTTGATTCTGGGTATACGCCCAAGTCCCAAACCACGATACGGACCTACCAAAACTGTCAAAATACTGATCCGAGTCCGTTTGCTCAAAATATTGATCAAAGTCAACTCAGTTGAGTTTTAAAGCTCTAATTCACATTTTAATACATTTTTCACATAAAAATTTTCTGGAAAATTTTACGGACTGTGCACGCAAGTCGAGTAATGATAAATAGTACTTTTTGAGGTCTTAGAACATAGAATTAGTTATTAAATTTAAAGATGATATTTTGGGTCATCACACCAATGCCACAAATAAGAATTTTCTTCGCACGAAAATTCTTTTCTACGGCCTTTCGATCAGCGTCATTGAATTCCTTCCTTGTCTTGGGAATGGCTACAGCTGGGTCGCCAAGGTTCTTGGTAGGGACAAAGTGTCTGTCATATATGACATCTCATAGCTCAGAATCTTCAGCCATGATGAAGTCGTGCATCGTAGTTTTCCATCATCCGTAATAATGTCCATTTAACCTAGGTGGTTTGTAAGTAGACTGGCCTTCTTCGAAGTTTGGAGGAGCAGCCATAAGGATCCTTTCTAGGTGTTAACCTGATAGAAAGAACCTGTTCTGATACCAATTGATAGAATATAAGAGTCCACCAAACTCTATAGAGAACCAGGTTCTCTATCGGTTCCACTGGAACACACGCACACAGCAGTAAGTAAATGACTAGAGAAATTTTATGTGGAAAATTTCCAGCTCAACGGGATTAAAAACCACGACCTACCCTAGGATTTCAACTTCACTACTGAGAAACTTTTAGATTAGAACCTATGCAACCTAGGAATTAACCTCTTAATCCCTCACTAACTTGTAATACTCTATTATAAGCCACTTTGTAATAACTCTATTACAAAGACTTTACAACTCGACTAACTCTAGCCAAGACTCAAACGCAAAGGTTTAAGGTTTACAAAGAGTTTCCTAAAGAATACTTCTAAACAAGCTAAGTAGGAAATACAGTTTAAGAACTATTACAAAGTTACAACTCAACTAAGGACATACAATGACTTGCTGTGGGGAACTGGTCCGTAGTAGTGTTGTTCTTTGTTCTTGATGCACTTGAGAATTGATTGCTTGATGATCAATGACCGTAAGAGTGCTTGGATGAATTCTCTAAGTAACCAGTGATTTGTTTTTACCTTCTTTGATGTCAATAATGCATTTGTGACATCACTAGAATGATGTAAGCAAGGTAGGTAAAAGACACTCCCCATAAAGTTGACTGCTGCACTGTTTCTGCACTGTAGCATGTGCAGGCAGCAACTTTACAGCTGGGGCAGTTGACTTGTACAGTTTCCTCGGGAAACAATAGTTATATGTTCCCTCTGTTGTTCCTCTGACTCTGAAGAGTCGAAGCATATTCCAAGTTGGAACCTTTCGATCTTAAGGTCTTGAGGATATGTAATTGGTTCCTTATCTGGTTCTTGACAATAAGTTTATTAGGTCATCAAAACATAAAGCAAAGTACTTGTAACTTATCAAAAGGTGAAACCTCATCAATGCTAGCATATAGCCGTTCATTATCCGTGAAAGAAAAATAGAAATATATGCACTTTTTTTGTCACGTCAATATTATTTTGGAAGCTGATTTTTCATTTTTTCTTTATTCTCACCCACTGTTTTAAAAGGCGTGGGCGTAAGGCGAAGCGTTTTACATATGCCTCAGCGAGGCGTAAGCCCCGAGACACGGGACGTAAGCCCCATGAGTATTTATAACCATGTAAAATTTAAAAATTGAAGAAAACTATAAATATGTAAAAAAATATATACATAGATGTTCTATATCCCCACAAAAAACTAGTCAAAATAATCTATTATACGCTACTTACAAGCACAAGTAACTTGAGTCGAAAAGAATAAAGTTTTCTAGACGGAGGAACAATAAGGATGACTAACCTACAATTTGAACTCGCTGTTATGAAAGAGAATAGAGTTCTCTTTAAATAAAAAGGTCTTGACTTTTAAATTTAATACATTTCAGTTCCTTTTTAAAATTTTTGAGTAATTACAAGTTGACTTTTGAGAATTTGGGTATTATATGAAGGACTTATTCAACAAATTTTATTTTAATTTGAAAAAGTCTCTGGGTCTTACGCCTCAATACAAAAATCCGCTTCAAACGCCCGGGCGTACGGCTGGGCGCGCCCCGAATTACTGAGCGTATGCCTCTCGAGACTTTCGCCCCACACCATCACCTAGGGGCATTTTTGATACGCCTCGCCCCAAGGCTCCCTCCGGGACTCGTCCCGAAATTGTCTTTTAAAACACGGTTCTCACCCACCTAAGGAGTATCCAACGTCTACGTGCAAGTTAAGGTTATCAAACTGGCAAGTATAGAGGGTAATTAGGACTAAAAATAGTTCGCCGAATAATCAAATTTCCATGTTTAGGGAATCCCCAGGAACTATGCCAATTTTAGTTATTTCCTTATGCAACAAATCAGAAATAACATAACAAGGAACAAAACAGCTGATATAACATACTAACAAACATTACCAAAACCAAGGACAGCTTATGTTTCTCGGCGCCAACAACAACATACAACATACCCTATATTATCCCACACCGAGGGTGTAGGGACAGCTAGTATGTACGCAAACCTTACCCCTACCTTGTGAGGATAGAGAGGTTGTTTCCAATAATGTTCTTATATATACCGGCCTCTTAAAACTCTGTCTGTCCATCTACAAGGGCAATCAAGAAAAAACACTATTTCCTCAGTTCAAAAAATCATCGATTTTCTTACACAAAGATGAAGCACCATCAATACCTGCAAATAACCGTCATAACATGTAAGTCTATTTGTTCCGTTCATCTGCAACAAATCAGGAAATGACATAACAAGGAAACAAAAATCCAAAAAGAGATAACTGATATTACCACAGCAAAGAACAAACTTACTTTTCTTAGCACTTATCATATTCCTATATATACCACCCTCTTAAGATTGCCTAGCCAATCAAGATTGCCTCAGTTTGCACCTCAAAACCATCCATTTTCATACACGAAAAAAACTGAAGCAAAGATGAAGGGAATCATCATTTCAGTCATTGCGGTGTTGGCTATGATTCAGCTCATGTTTGAGCCAGGACAAGCTCTCACTTGTGGACAAGTGGACGCTTCTTTAGCACCATGTATCCCTTACCTTACTCAGGGCGGTGATCCGAGTGCAGCTTGCTGCAGTGGGGTGAAAAGCCTAAAAGGATTGGCTCAAACCACAGCTGACAAAAGGGCAGCTTGCAATTGTGTCAAGGCTGCTGCTAATCGGTACGCGAACCTTAAAGATGATGCAGCTCAAGCTCTTCCCACCAAGTGTGGTGTCACTATGGATATCCCTGTCTCCAGAAATGTTAACTGTGATATGTAAGTTACTCTTTTTATGCATTTAGATACAAGTTTCACTTCAAAATTGTCTCTCTTTTACTGACTTAATATTCTTTTCCTATTTTTGGTGGACAGCATCAGTTAAAAAACAGGAGGAGCAATGATCATCTGCCAGAAAATAAAGAATTGGATGACTTCTGAGTGAATTAATCCTTTGTAGCATTTCGTTTGCCTTTGTTGTACTTTTCTTGTATCTGTAAAATAATGGTATCTGATAGCCATAGCCTGTAATCAGAGAACCAATTTTCAGTGCTTGAAGCTTTATCAAGCTTTATGGTGTAGTTCCAAAAGTAAGCACAGTAGCAATTATATTTATGTTCCTCGACACTTCCATTCCTTCTGTTCAAATTATATGATGGTATTTAACTAGGTATGAAATATAATAAAGAAAGAAAGAAGGATTTTTGACACATATCAAAAGTAAATTATAGGACTTATGGTATTAAATATGTCATGATATTTTTATAGCTATAAAAGTATATCATTAAAAATAAAATGAGAAGTTTAAAGTTCTCATATAAATATGTGTCGTTCTTTTTTAAACATATTAAAAGAAAATAGTGTCATATAAAATAAAATCTAGAGAGTAGTTAATCAATTTAAAAGAGGAAAATATGTGATTATTACTTTTTTAAAAGAAAAAATTAAACAAACGTGTTTAATGGAGTAAAAGGCAGGGGGAGTTTTCTCTTTAATTTGAAAAAGATTACTATGAAGAAATTGAAGAACATAAGAAAGTAGAAAGGACCGTCGGATTGAACAAACTCAAGAAAAGGATTAATACCCTCTTCAATTGACTGAATTTGGTAAACTTTACCTACTCAGTACTCACAAAACTATGGTCGTTCACGTTGAAATACGGCCTTGTGGATGTTTCTCTTTATGTCATGCAATACTTCCCTTTAGAAAAGATGCAGCTGAAAAATGGAACCATTGTATGAAAACAAAAGGCATTTATTACTTCTTTAAAATTCACCACTCGTAAAATGTTAATTAAGTTAGACGATTAATTAGGCTGAGATAAAAGATAATTTAAAGAAAAACTCTAATAATTAAAGTTATGAAATAGTTTATTTTAAGAGGTACGCAAAAATCTTAAAGGACAAGTAATATTAATCTAATGTAGTATAATCCCTCTGTCTCAAATTATCTGTCGCGATTTCTAAAAATAGTTGTCTCAAATTATTTGTCATTTTAGAAGTTCAAGAATAAATTAATTAATTTTTTTCTTATTCTACTCTCAATATTAATTGTTCTTGAAGACTACAAATACCTTAATTATGAGTAAGTATTAAATGAAGAGATATTATATCTTAAGATATAAATAAGGGTAAAATAAGAGTTTTTAGTCAAAATTATCCCTTATCTTTAAGAGTATGTCTAACTTTGTCCTTTAACTATTTTCCTGGGAATCTTTAGTCCCTTAAGTTTGCTAAAGTGATGCACCTTTAATCCTACTAATAGAATTGGTTAAAAACTAACGGTGACTATCACCATACGACATGCCAATCACGTAACTCTTGTTAAAAGCCTACCAGTGAAACAACTAAACCCATTCCCGATTTTTCATATTTCATAGTCACCATTCACCCTACACCTCTGAAGAAAAGCTTGTATTAAAGAAAAATGCAAGAAAATCTTAAGAAAAATTTATGTTGTCCATCTATACTCATACAAAGACTCTACTTCAACTTATTTCTACACAAACAACCTATTGTTATAGAATCTGGACTAGGCGACGATACTAACATCCATATATGGGCGTGTGAAATTTTTAAATCAAAGAAAATTTTGAAAAAGGAAAGCGAGATTGCATACAAAATTAGTGCTACAATCTCATTCAAATAAACTCATCAATAAACACAGAGAAAACACACACAAAATGCAAACAATAAATATTCATCAATGGCAGTATCACGTCTTCAATGGAATTGTCAATTGTCATGCCATGGTATCATCAAACTCCGACTGCCATCTCAATTTAATCCATGTTGTCGCTTCGATCGAATCCAATCCGCAGGTTTCCTTGGATATTCAATTTTCTTTTCGATTCTCCGCTCAATGAAGCTTTTCTTCATCGGAATAGGGTTCTGACGGGCTGAATTAGGGTGAGGAATAAGGAAACCTGTTTATGCTTACTGCTTGTCTTTATTTCTTTTACTGGTCACATGAGATGCTTATGGAATCACCATTAGTTTTTACGAGAGTTAACCAAATTTTATTAGTAGGAATAAAGGTGCTCCATTTTAGCAAACTAAGGGATTAAAGATGCTCGGGGGAATAGTTAAAGGACAAAGTTAGACCTACTCTCAAAGATAAGGGATAATTTTGTAAGGTCCCGTAAAATTTTTCCTAAAAATTGGGGTTCCGTGATGTCGGGGTAGGCGTAGAGGTTAATAATAATAGAAATGCACTAGAAAGTGAAGGAAAAATCTAGGCAGAAGAAATGCACTTCTGCGGCCCACTATGCGGCTGCAGAATCAATCTACGAACCGCATAATGGTCGCAGAGTGAGACAATCTTTTAGGCCAATTTTGATATCATTTTCGTGGCTCATTATGCGACCGCAAAACCATTTCACGGGCTGCACTCTAATCGCATATCCGGCTTTGAGATTTTTTGAAGGGAGGTTCTGCGGCGCATTATGCGACTGCAGAATAGGTCTGCGGCGCATTATGCGACCGCAGAACAGGTCTGCGGGCCGCATAGTGACCGCAGACCCAGGTAGATATTTTTTTTCTAGTTTTTGGCACCAAATTATGCGGTCGGTATGCGGATCGCATATCCATTCTGCGGTCGCATATCTTTTTCCGAGGTTTTATTTTTGAATTTTTATAATCCGGCCCTACTTCGTTATATATACGCAAAGGACCATATTTTGAGCAAAAAACTGATATTTTGAGGGTGAGAGAGTGCCCTAGAGTGGGAGAGAATTCTTCAATAATTTATTCATCAAGTCTTGCTCAAATCTTGGAAGATTAACAAGGATAACTCACTAGGTCTTCATCCTAGAAGGTAAGACTTTATACCCTAGCCCTTAATTTTGAAATTTATCTAAGAATGGGTAATTAGCAAGACAATTCTTGGGTATGTGAGTTATTTATTTTGCATGCATATGTTATCAAAGGGTGTAGGAAGATTGTGAGCTAAAAATGGTAAAGAGTGAGTTGTGGGATAATGGAATTCTCCATAAAAGGACCTTGAAACCTTAATGCACACCTAGTATTTGATAAAATGCTCAAATGAGCTAGAACCATGATCATCTTCCTAATTTTGGTTTAATTGGTCATATTTCTCTTTGTAGAGTGCGCCGGTTTGTACAGGGCCTTAGCCCCTTGGCTATTAATAAGGCCTCCACAGCTGCCTTGAATACCGATATGAGCTATGGTAAGATGGTAGAATTTGCTCAAGCCACAAAGACCCGTAAATTGAAGAAAAGAATGGAGCATCAGAGTAACAGCAAGGCCCGTCCGCGGGCAACTTAGGTGGTGGTAGGTAGGCATTCAGGGGAGGGTCATCAGTACCATCTCAATCATTCGCTTAGTCTTAGATGAGTGCACAGTCATCTGGACCCAGTCAAGGCAATAGGGGACCCCACCAGCAGGGTCGGCCCGACAAAAGGTTTCAGCAACGGAGGCTCCCATGCCCTAAGTGTGGGAGGATGCACTTTGGGACATATTTCATGGACCTACTTATATGCTATGGGTGCGGTGTGAGGGGTCACATTCATAGGGATTACCGCTCGTCCCGTCGAAACATGGGCAGAGGTACGGCGCAACCAGCTAATACTGCAGCTACTACATCCACAGCACCTCCAGCTCGAGGCACCCGAGCACCCATAGGGCGTGGTGCAGCTAGGGGTGGTGCACAGAATTCGGGAGGACCCAGCAGATTTTATGCTATGCGGAGGCGTCGGGATTTAGAGACTTCTCCAGATGTTGTCACAGGTATATTGTCTGTCCAATCCCATGATGTATATGCTCTTATTAATCCCGGTTCCACTTTATCATATGTCACTCCTTATGTTGCTATGGAATTTGGGATAAAACCGGAATAACTTCATGAGTCGTTCTCTGTGTCTACTCCGGTTGGTGAGTCTATTGTGGCTGCACGGGTTTATAGGGGTTGCGTTGTTACGGTGCGTGGTCGGGACACCGTGGCCGATCTTATTGAATTTAGAATAGTCGATTTTGATATGATAATGGGGATGGATTGGATTTATTCTTGTTTTTCCAAGCTTGATTGCCGAATCAGGACTGTTAGGTTCGAATTTCCAAATGAGCTAGTTATTGAGTGGAAGGATGATGATGTAGTGCCGAAGGGTAGGTTTATTTCTTACCTTAAGGCCACGAAAATGATCAACAAGGGGTGTATTTACCATTTGGTCTAGGTTATGGACACCGATGTCGAGGTGCCTACACTCGAGTTTGTACCAGTTGTGAATGAATTTTCAGAGGTCTTTACTGATGAGCTCCCTGGGATTCTGCCAGACAGGGAGATTGATTTTGGGGTTGATGTGATGCCAGGCACGTAGCCTATATCTATTCCGCCTTACAGGATGGCACCAGCAGAATTGAAGGAGCTAAAGGAACAATTGAATGATTTGTTAGAGAAGGGTTTCATCCGACCGAGTGTGTCACCATGGGGCGCACCGGTTCTCTTTGTGAGGAAGAAAGATGGATCACTGAGGATGTGTATTGACTACCGACAGCTAAACAAAGTCACAATCAAAAACAAATACCCATTACCAAGAATTGATGATTTGTTTGATCAGTTACAGGGTGCTAGGTACTTCTCTAAAATTGATTTACGGTCCGGGTACCACCAATTAAAGATCGGGGAGCAGGATATTTCGAAAACAGCTTTCAGGACCCAGTATGGGCACTTTGAATTTCTGGTAATATCTTTGGGCTAACAAATGCCCCGACGACTTTCATGGATCTTATGAATAGGGTTTTCAAGCCTTTTCTTGATTCCTTTGCGATAGTGTTCATTGATGATATTCTTGTGTATTCACAAGGTCGAGAGGACCATGCCGATCATCTCAAGTCAGTTTTGCAGACTCTTCATCAGCACCAATTGTACGCAAAATTTTCAAAATGTGAATTTTGGCTCGAATCTGTCACATTCTTGGGTCATGTCGTCTCCAGAGAAGGAATTGAGGTTGATCCTCAGAAAATTGCATCTGTGAAGAATTGGCCGAGGCCTACAACCCTAACAGAGATTCACAGTTTTTTTGGCTTATCAGGGTATTACAGGAAGTTTGTGGAGGGGTTCTCTACTCTTGCCTCTCCGTTAACTAAATTGACTCAGAAAGCGGTTAAGTT